CCCCAGGCCCAGCCCCTGTACAAGCGCTTCTACGACATCACCACGTCCCTGCCCGGGGCCCTCCAGGAGTCGCCCCTCTTCGGGAGGGTCTACCCCCTGGTGGCCCCCGTGGCCGACCCCGTCGTCGCCAACTTCTCAAACTCCAAGGTGCTGCGGCAGCTGGACGACCACCTCAAGCCCAAGACCGCATGAAGCGGCGGGCACCCGCATGGGCGGCTCCCTGGCTCCTTGAAGGGGGTGCCGCCGAACAACGATCGAGAGGGGGCACTGATCAACAGCAAGCGCTCTCGTTGGGGATGATTGTATAGGAGGTGCATCTGAAGATGAGTCGAACCAGGCATGGCTGCTGCTTTCATTGGTGTGGGGGCGTGTGGGGCTGGCTGTGTGGGCGCTGCGTGGAGCTTGAGGGCTGCTAAGAGCATGGGAGCCTGTGAAGGCCTCGGCGAGTGAGGCTGATTGCACTCTCCTCCTGTGAGGAGAGATCTTCCTCTGCAAATGCTTGCATGTTTCCCGCCCCTGGTGTTGTCGTCAGGCCGGGCTGCACTGTTCTGCGCGGATACGGCGTGCACCGCCCACAAACATGCGCGAGAGCTGCATGGACTGAACAGCTTGCGCTTTGCGCCACATGTACTGTAATGGCCCTTTGAAGCAGCAGGCGACTCCCTGAGCATCATACCTTCTGCAGCATTTCAGACCCACGCAATGGGGCCATACCGCAGGCAGCAGCGAGCGAGAGGGCGAGGGGGGGCTGGGCCGGACCAGGCTGCATGCGGCGCTTGACCAGGCCTGGGTGTGGGTCAACCACAGCCTGCGGCAGCCCTTTGCAGAGATGGTCGTACCGAATGCAATCAGACCAATGTGCTGTTTTGACACGCGCAGCAGGCCATGTATTTGTGTGAATGACCTGCGCCCCAAGCGGGGGGGGGGCAAGCTTGCTCAGCGTGTCACCGTGTGTTGATCGTGCCTGAGTCAGTCAGTCTGCCGGAGCAAGCCGTCCTCCCAGGAGGCACGAGTCCCACCCCGGAACTATCACAAAAGAACCACTGAACTTGCTGCTACCACCAGACGGTACCACCCCACTAGATCAGCACGCGTGCGTGCCCGGTTTGTCCCACCTGGCACCCAGCCCCGGTCCCAAGCGCGCAGCAGGAAGAAAGGAATCGATGCTGTCCCCATCTAGACGGCGCGAACCGCATGTCCCTTTGTAGCGGCCATACCAGATGAACCAGCCATCCCCAGAGGGCCTGGTGGGTCCAACGGGCATCCGATCGCGTTCTATACACACGTGCGGGTACCCCTTCACAGCTGGCGCGAAGGCGGGCTGCGCCCAACCGGGCTGCGCTTGCTGTTGCGTCCGACACTTGGATTGCGCACAGATGCGCCTTCCCACTTGTCCACGCCGCCTGCCCCATGCGGCAACACCGCCGCCGCCCCACGAGTTGAGTTTTGGCGCCGCTGCTCCCGTCTGCGACAGACTGGCAAGACCACCAAAGGCGAGACGCTGCGCGTGCGCGAGGTGTGGGATGATAACCTGGAGGCCGAGCTAGTGATCATTCGGTCCATCCTGGATGAGTACCCGGTGAGCAGGCTGGGGGAGTAAGTGCAGCAGATGCATGGAGGTGGGACCATAGTGGTGCAGCAGCCGTGAAGCCATGGCGACGGCACGGAAGGAGGCGGGACAGCGGGTGTGTTGCTATGCACCCCATGCAATGCTCGGGGGATGTGGGCTGGAGGGGTGGAGGTTAGTGAAGGTGCAGGTTGCAGGCGGGTGGCCATGGCGGTGAAGTGGGGCCGCAGATGTGAACCCATGGCGGCACCATGGGGGAAGCAGAACAGGGGCGCACCTGCTTTTGCGAAGCATTGCATATGGGGAGGGGAGGGGATAATGCACCCGGCTGGCTGCGCTGCGGCAGCTGGTGGTTTGACAATTCGGTAGCGAGGCGTTGAGTGCACCGCCAAATGCGTGAAAGCTGCGTGTACAGCGGTCGCGCGTGGTTGGTGGACACAGGCGTGGATGACCGGAGGGTCATAGTATGCATGGAGATTGGGGTGCGGGCCAGCACGGCTCGTATGCACGTGCAGGAAGTGTGGGGCGGCTTGCCCGCCAGCATCACTGCCGATTCTGGGCAGCGTGCGCGAGCGTGCAAGCAGCTGGCAGCAGGCAGTACAGGCAGTACAGACACCAGGGCATGTGTGCATGGCGGAGGAGGGGCTGCAATTGACCGCCTACCGCCTCTGTCGCAATCCTGAATCCCCCGACACACACATCCGCCCCATGCAAACCCTTACTGTGCGCACAGGTACATGGCACGTCTTGACTCTATGCCAATTGTCAACTCCCATGCGCACATGCAAACTCCTTGCAGCGCGCACAAACACACACGCACACCCCAACACCACACACAACCACAACCATACAACAACACACACAAACCGGTCGTGCAAATGCACAAGCCAGCATCGCGCTCGCCCTCATGCACCCCCACACACTCACCCCCCCCTTCCCCACCAGTACGTGGCGATGGACACGGAGTTCCCCGGGGTGGTGGCGCGCCCCGTGGGCAACTTCAAGTCCAGCCGCGAGTACCACTACCGCGCCCTCAAGCTCAACGTGGACATGCTCAAGCTCATACAGCTGGGCCTGACCTTCACGGACGCGCAGGGCAACCTGCCGGTGTGCAACGGGGAGCACACCGTGTGGCAGTTCAACTTCCGGGGGTTCAGGCTCGCCGAAGACGTGTACGCACAGGTGAGCGGCAGGGGGAGTAGTCGGGAAGCCTTTTTGGTCGGGAAGCAGACGGTTTACACATGCTGATAGTGAGTGCGCGGCTCAAGCGGGCGGACGAGCCAGGTAGCGGTGAGCCGGCAGCAAAAGAGCAGCGCTTCAGAGCAGCAGCGCGTGTGGCTGCACAGCTGTTGGCTTCTGGCTTGGCAGGAAGACTCGACGTGTAGGCCCGATTTCTGTCGAGCCAGCGGCTGCACGTGGTGTGGCTAGACAGGAGCCTCGAATCAGCAGCTGCACGGTGCCATGGAGGAGCATGGTTGTTACGCTCCCCAAGAGACAGCCGCCGACGTAGCCCTGGTGCCAAGAATTTATGTCGGGACGCCCCGTGAGAAACCAGTGTTGCTCGCACCTCCCCATCCCCACCCCACACACACACCACACACACACACACACACACGCACACACACACCCCAGGACTCCATCGAGCTGCTGAAGCAGAGCGGCATCGACTTCTCACAGATGGAGGCGCGCGGCATCGACGTGCAGCACTTTGGGGAGCTGCTCATGTCCAGTGGCATCGTGCTCAACGACGACATGAGGTGGATCACATTCCACAGGTCCGGCGGGCACGAAGGGCGCCAAGGCCCTTGGCGGGGCAGTGCGTGCGCACCTGCTTGGTCACCGGCTTGTCCTGGAAAGGGGCACAACACCCGCCGCGCATGCCATGGACACCGTTGTGGCTTGGGGGCCACGACGGGGCGTTGGTGCTCACTCTTGTGCAGCACGCGATGTACTGTGCCACTTTTAACTCCATCACGCAACCCTCTACCCCCCCACCCCCCCGCGCCCCCCACAGTGGCTATGACTTTGGCTACCTGATCAAGGTGCTGACGGCGCTGCCGCTGCCCGACACTGAGCCGGAGTTCTTTGAGCTGCTGCGGCTCTACTTCCCCTGCATCTTCGACATCAAGGTGAGGGGGGGGGCTGCTGGGTGGGGTGGGGCAGCGGGGTCTGGCGCTGGGCGTTCCGAGGAGGGGGCCTACCATGGGCAGAGCCCCTACGTTGGTGAGCCTTGGACGGGCCGGCAAAGTGAGGACCCAACGGGCCGGCAGAGGCTCGAGGGTGGCCGCGGGCACAGTAAGAGCAGAGAGGAGTATCCAGAACAAAAAGGATTAGGAGTTTTGTGGAAAACCTGCCTGCAGGGCAAGGAGGCCCCCTTGAGGTGGTAGGCGGGTCGCACCCACCCTGTGTTTGCGC